GCCCAGGAAGGTTTAGAATGCAAGAGGACTTGGCCCTTAACTGATCTGTTCTTGGCTTTTGGGGCTCTGGTTAAAGCTAGAACACAACATCTCTCTTTAACATTTTGTTAGTTTTTTGTTTTGTTTTTTTTTTTAATCTGTTTGACTTGAAAGACTTTCTTTTGTTTCCTAATGTACATGGAGAGCCTACACAGTGCCTGGCACAGAGTGAACACACTCATTGAATGAATAAAGAGGACACCAACTGTTAGTGTTACCTTCCTCTATTGATTCATTTTTAAAAGAAATTTATAGATGAGGAGACCAAAATGCAAATGAACTATGAAGAGATGCCCAATCTTACTAGTGCTTGGGGAAATGCAAACTGAAATAATAATTAGTTACTACTTCATCTCCATCAAGTTGCCTAAAATTAAAAAGTCTAACTATAAGAATTTGTATGGAAAATAAGAATTCTCAAATACTAGAACACCCTGAAGAGTAGTTTAGTAATACAAAATAACACTATACTTGGCCGATAATTCTGCCTCCACTTCTAAGTATATACTTTAAAATTATTCCACACGTGCCTAAGGAAAAATGAAGGCATTGTTTAGAAGAACCAAAAAATGGTGACCTAAATAAACATCCATCCACAGGGAAATAAATTAAGGCATATTCATACAATGGAATGCAGCATAGCAATTGAAAAGAATGAAATAAATTTACTTACATCAATCGGAAAAACCTCAAAGAAACATTTGATGCAAAAATGAGTTACAAAATGTTATATACCATATATCACCATTTATGTAAATTTTAAGAACCAAACATGATTTATTCATTTCTGATGTAAACATACACATATAGGAGAAAAATCCAAACTTTCAAAGGAAGACTCTACCAACTTTAAGATAATGGCTACCTCTGAGAGAAAGGACTACAAAAAAGGATTTCAACTATGTGGTAATATTTCATTTTTGAAAATTCTAAACCAAAAACAATTTTTTGTATACAAATGTGCTCTTCTACAACATGAAAGAATACCAAAGCACCACATCATGAATACCTGAATTTGTCTTTCTCTCAAGGCCTTGAGAAATTGAAGTCCAACAGTAAAACTGACTTGGCAGAAGTAATAGAATAAAAAAAATGTAAATGAATAAAAAGCAAAGACTATATTTGGCTCATGAAATGAAAATTTAAGTTTTTTCTTTTTTAAGAATTATTTATTTGAGAGAGAGAGCGTATGGGTGTGTAAGTGACCAAGGGAAGGGGCAGAGGGAGAGAGAGAATCCCAAGCAGACTCCCTGTTGATCATGGAGCCCAATGTGGGGCTTGGTCTCACAACCCCAAGATCATGAACTGAGCTGAAGTCAAGAGTTGGACACTTAACCAACTGAGCCACCGGCACCCTAAGAATTTAAGTAGTTTTAAATAAAATCTCAAAAACCTGTTTCTGTCTGTGGTCTTGCTGGCATCACCATCCTCTATTATTTGTAGAGTAATATCTAAGGTTCTAGGTATTGTGGCTTGTATTATAGCTTGGTGCTCTTTTGGTGGTAGATTTACGGGGTTTTTCTTTTCAAATAATCCTAATTGTGCCTGTTGACACTATCTGAAGCTATCATATGAACTAAACACTATAAGGAAAATACCACAGTAAAAAAAAAAAGAAACAGAAGGCCCATAGGGTCACTATACAACCCTGATTTTCCTAATAGAAGTGTCTCATTTTGAAACACATCTATTCTTTGTAAAGCTCACTTAGAATGAAGAACTATGAGTTTATCATGGGATATGACTTTAATATAAAATGGAATAAGATGGAACTTTTGAAAGAGAGGTCTCTAAAGCTTTACATAACATTGTCATATAATAACTTTTTAAGCTCGTGGTTTGATAGAACAATACAGATAAAAGCTGACAGAGAAAAAGCAGTGAGCAGCTTGAGAAAGAAAATGAGCTAAAAAAGTTTTCAGAAATAAGGAAGGGCTTCCATTTAAGCTGAAAACACTGATGTGAACTTATAACCTTGAAAATATTTAGAACAATTTTTCTTTACCCTGACCTAAAATGGGCCCAAACAAGCTCTCGTATCACCCTGCCATGTCTACACACCAAGATGCTGCTGTCTAGTACTATTTGTCACTGAAAGGAACCAACGCTGCCAAGGCAGTGACTGACTCCAAGTCATGGAGCAGGGGAGAAAAAAATCAGTTGAAACATAATATTATCAAGAAGCACAGATGCTTTCCAAGACATTCACACTAGTGCTAAGAAAAAAAAGGCCCTCTGATGGCCACAGTATAGGAATCTAAGCCTCAGGCACCATCACCCCCACAACCAAGATAAAATTAGCTAGGTCTAAAAAGGCATAAATCCCTTTGTCCCTAATGATACTGTGTACTAAGACAGGCATGCAGAAGATACTGTTTGCAGAAAATGCATTCTACTGATCTATCCACTCAAGTTTTTGACACTACCTAAGGACATAATTCATTTTCTCCCCTTTTCTTATATAGAACAGTGTTGGCAAATTGTGACTGTCATCTTCTTTACTAAGAGAAGTCAAAAGCTCCAGAAACCTTTATCAAAAGTTAAATCTAATGTATGGAACATGCAATTATCATTTGATGTTTTAATTTTGCTGCAAGGACACTGTTGTATCAAGGATACATCTTACGTTAAATATGCTAATGGGGCTAAGACTGTATCTTACCATGACCAGTCACTTTGTACTGTGGGAGGTTTATCAGGACAGGCAATATAAAATTTACACAAATATACTTTATAAAGACCTTGTTTTTAAAAAGTACATTATTTATTTTAAAAGTTTGTCTCTAGGTTTTTATTTAGAAAGAGGGTATTAAATCTTTGTGTCTTATTCCTCTCTCTCAAAAAAAAAAAATCCACAGTAGGTGTTGGTTTGCTTGTTTTGTTTATTTTATTGAAGTATAGCTAAATAGGAAAGTTTCCCTCTATTAAGAGCCATTTACTATAATCTAGTCCAAGTCATGAGGGCTCCCTTGCCTCAATTCTAGTATTCTATTGCTAACAAAGGCACCCAGGATTGAGCAAGAAGGGGCAATGATGTAGGCAACAACCTACATCAATCTTAAAGTTTTTCTTATTAGCTGTCTGTGACTATTATTCACAAATTTCACAAATCCTTCCTGAACTCACATAAACAATTTATGCCTATACTATTACTTGAAGTTAACTAAGTCCCACAGTTATCTTCTTTTCATTTGTCCCAAACATCTTAAACTTATCAAAGGTTGCCTCTCTTCCTAGAATTTTAGAATTTCTTGAACAAGCCTGTGCTCACCCTAACCCAGGTCTTTTTAGACTAAGGTCCACTCAGCCTTTTGGCCTCCACTCCTTTACCAGGACTGCCGTTTCTTCTCTCGGTCTAGGGGATCTTCTCTGGCTAGTCCTTAGCTCCACTATGTCCTCTTGAAGATGAGATTGCCAAAGTTGAACACAGGATTCCTTAGGAGGAAATGCCATAGATTTACATAAAGGTATAACCATTGGTGATCTTCAAGAACTCTCCCAGATGTCCTATGTTGTGTTGGGATCTTTGCTCCTCATTAGAGTACTAGGTTGCTATTCTCTATACCCTTAATAATTAATAGTGCCTTTTTCAAGTTACAGTCCTGGAGTATTTAGAAATATTGTGAATTCCTTTTAAACATCCCACTGCCAGTTTTAAAATCAGTCTACAACTTGTTGTTCAGGAACACAAATGTTTAAGACCTTCCTGTTATCTAGATCTATCGTTTGTGACTTTTCTCTATCTGAAAGATTTTTCATAGTTATGTCTCCAGTTCATACATAAAAATACTAAGTAATTCCAGTCCTCGCATGATGTCAAAGACTTGATCAACCATTTACATTTCTTTATGTATGAAATCACACTTTTATCCCTACTCTGTTTCCTCTCTTCTTCCCTCTCCTTCCTTCTCCCTTCAGATCCCTTCTCCCAATTCCATGGTGACTTAGCAGAACATTCATTCATTCGTGAAATATTTATTGGTGTCCACTCTGTGCTAGGTACAAGAACAATGTGTTAAGAATATAACAAAGAAAACATAGTGTCCCTGCCCTAAAGAACATCTAGTGATTATATGCTTGCCTTTTTTATTCTTCAAAAACACTAGTTGAGCATGGGTTTGTTTTTTAGGTTTTGTTTGGGTTTTTTTTGTGTGTTTTTTCTTAACTTATAAATCATGTTTTTCTTCTAAAAGAATATTATTTAGGGATCCCTGGGTGGCGCAGCGGTTTGGCGCCTGCCTTTGGCCCAGGGCGCGATCCTGGAAACCTGGGATCGAATCCCACATCAGGCTTCCAGTGCATGGAGCCTGCTTCTCCCTCTGCCTGTGTCTCTGCCTCTCTCTCTCTCTGTGACTATCATAAATAAATAAAAATTAAAAAAAAAGAATATTATTTATGTTCTTGGTTTTAGAATTCGAAGGATTACCATTGAGGATGGTGAGGATGAAACTGAATCACTTGTACATTCTCAAATCTTTTTTAGGTCTGCATTGCTCAATTCAGTAAGCCACTAGTTCCATGGCTATTTAAATTAATTACAATTAAATGAGATTAAAAATTCAGTTTCTCAGTTGCACTAACTACATTTCAGGTGCTTAATGGCTAATGTAGCTAATGATAATTGGCAGCATAGATTTGTTGGACAGTTCTTACATAAGGGGTCACATGGTAGCCACATATAAAAATAGGCTACATATTCTGGCAAAAATTACTGACTTTTTCATTACTCATATGAGGTCACGAGGTACTAGTCATTTACTTATATTCTTTTCGTCAATGTAAACTATCTTAAATATAGACCACTACTGAATAGTTTTAATTATGATGTAACATATAATCATTTCTTTTTTTATCTTATTAGTAGCAGTATATATACCTGGAAGTACATAATGAAAGAACCTAAAATAATAGCAATAATGAAATAAATAATTCGACATGGGAAACATCATCAAGAAACTTACCCTCCTTCACTTTCTGCTTCCTCTGAACTATTACTTGTTGCAGAACTTTGAACTGTGGTAAGCCTTCTTTTTCTAGCTCTGTGCTGAGGACTTATCTTATGAACAGTTATCTTCCCTCCAAGTTCACCTTGTATATATTCCTCCAGCTTTGGAATGGTTTCTTTAAGAACTCTGATTTCCTCTTTGAGTTCTTCCATATTTGTCAGTAATTCATTTAACTTCTCCAATATCTGAAGCTGCCTTCCTTGAAAGATTGCTGCTGTTCCTTGGCCATTATACATTTCATCTTGAAAAGTCATTGAATCAAACTTACTACCCAGGGAAAGAAATTTAGGTAAATTCAATGTTTTCCTGGATTTACGAACCTTGTGGTACCACAAAAGAAGCAAGCTGATTCCAGTAGTTCCCACCATGATGCCAAGTATCAGCTCTTTGTTTGTGGAATGAGGCATTTCTTGGGTTTTGTTTCTAAAATTGAAAGCACAAATGTAAATGAGTGTTGTTTCTGTCTTTGCCCAAGACAAAAATATTAAAGCTTTCTCAATCAACAAAAGCCAAGTCTACACCATAGACACACCCACCTAAACACACACGATAAATCATAAACTAAAATGTATTATAAGCAAAATACATTTACCTCTAAAATGTATGTGGCCAATAGAAATATTTACTTTAAGAAAATCACCAAAGTCCATTATAAAGTATCAGTTTTAATTCAGAATTTGTATTCTATATGACTGGCCTGAAATTTACTCTTTATCATATATTTTTAAAGAGTATGATAAATAATAGTAAAAGCATCATTATACATTTCTGGGAAAATAAAACTATTTAAGAATTAAAATTGTGCTTAACTGTGTTTGAGCCCTTTATCTATATAAAATCAGTATGCTGACTTCTGAGTCTTACCTACTCTTTAAGGAAGTCCAAGGAACTTTTTCTTAGCACCTAATTCACACGTATACTTAGAGTAATAAACATATTAAAAGCTCAAGGATTTGGAATGTAAAATATATTAGAGAGCTCTGTCAAGTTTGGAGCTCACCTCATCTCTGTTTTACTCAGCAAGGGGAACAAAAATGCTGACACATGCAGGCTTCATCTCCTTTCTCCTTTTGACCCAGAATGCCTCTGCTCCTTACATTTCTATTTCTGTCTGAGATCTTAATGTTATTTTTTTTCAAATGATCCTTTTTTAAAAAATAACAAAAATGCCCTCTTCTTAATTCTTTTCTCTGAACTTTCACTGTTTTGCACTCAAGGCTCAAGCTTTAGCCTGCCTAATTCCACATAAACTCAGCTACTTTGAACGCACCATAATCTTTCTTTGGTATATCCCATCTTCACTAGTTTTATTGTTTATCTCTGTTCTTACAATCAGAAGGCCATTAACAAGAAACAGTAACATAAAGCCCCCTTTTCTTCCAAGATTTTAAGATAGCAGTAAGTATATTAGCAGTACAATAAACTTCTGTGGTTAGAGCAAAATATAGTGAGGCTTTTTTACAGACTTTGAGGTTCCAAAAATTATTTTCTCACCAATATCCACTACATTGTAAACAGGTAAACATCTGTATTAAGTTTTGTTAGCAATTTGAGAGAAATGTTACAAGTAATGGTATACTATCCATTACAGGAATTTAAATTCACAAAATTTTTGTTTTGTTTTTCTTGACACCTCTTCAAGCAGCATACTAATGCAGCACTGCCATCTTTGATTCCCAAGATAAAGGAAACACATGAGGTAAATCCTATGACCTCCCCAGATGTTTAATTAGAGGCAATTTCTGGACTATGGTGCTGGAAGGGGAAAACCAAACAAAGCCTAGTAGTCTTCTGAGTTGAACAGAGAATAGAGCTCAGAGAAACTGAAGCAACCTAGAATTTGTGTGGCACGGTACTGTGAGCAAAGTACGTAGAGAAAGAGCTCTAGTAATATGCATAGGAGTCTTCTTAAATCTTTAACTGAATATCAGTCTGAACATGTACAGAGGAAAATCCCATTAGGCCAGGCAAAAAAACAATTTCCAGGAATAGAACAAATACCAGGAAGCTGTAAATGGAACTATTCCTAAAGACTATACAAATTGCCACTAGAGTAGAGAGTATTTATCAAATATCTGAGGATTTCAGTAGAGATCTCAAAAGGGTAATGCCTTAGAAATGAGGCCTAATTAACCCAGAGTTAAGATCTATTTAGAGTTGTTCTAAAACAGATTAAAAATGAGCCTCCAAAGGATCAAACTAATTCACAAATAATTTAACTGCCTTCAAGAGAAAGTCCAACACTCTTTAAAGGAAATGAAAAATTCAATAACATAAAATCACAATGTTGATCATCCAATCAAAAATTACTAGATATGTAAAGAAGCAGGAAAATGACAGAGATGATGGAATTAGCAGACAGGATGTTAAAACAACTATTACAAATATGCTCACTATTTAATATAAATATATTTTTTAAAGATTTTATTTATTTATTCATGAGAGATACAGAGAGAGGCAGAGACATAGGCAGAGAGAAGCAGACTTCCTGCAGGGAGTTTGATGCGGGACTCAACCGCAGCACCCAAGGATCACACCCTGAGTCGAAGGCAGATGCTCAACTGCTGAGCCACCCAGACATCCCTATTTAATATAAATATTAAAAATATGTTATAGAAAAACATAATCATGATGAGGAGAGCAACAGAAGTTATTAAGCAGAACCAAACAGAATTTCTGAAGATGAAAAGTAAAATATCTGAAATAAAACTGTATTAAACGGGATTAACAGAAGAAAAACCATGGTGGGAGAAAAAGTGAGCAAATCTGAAGACAAAACAACAGATACCATCTACTACAGACTAAATGTTTGTGTCCCCTCTAAATTCGTATGTTGAAATCCTAATCACCAATGTAATAGTATTAGGAGGTGGGGCCTTCAGGAGGCAGAGCCTTTGTAAGTGAGATTAGGGCCCTCATAAAAGAGAACCCAGAGATATCCCCCCACTCTTCTACCATGTAAAGTTTTACAAGGAGACAGTGCCATTTATGAACCAGTGAGCATCTTAATATATATATATATATATACATATTAATATATTAAACACAGCTTATAGCAATATCAAGCAGTCTAAAACATATACAGTTAAAGTTACAGGGAAGAAAAAGGGTAAAAAAATATTTGAAGGAGGGCACCTGGGTGATTCACTGGTTGAGCATCTGCCTTTGGCTCAGGTCATGATCCTGGGGTCCCAGGATCAAGTCAGGCTCTCTGCAGGGAGACTGCTTTTCTCCCTCTGCCTATATCTCTGCCTCTCTCTCTGTGTCTCTCATGAATAAATAAAATCTTTAAAAAATATATTTGAAGGAAAGATGGCCAAAAAATTTCCAAATTAGACAAAAATGCTGACAACCAGTGATAAAGAAGAAGTGCTAAAAGTAGTCAGTGGGAAAAAAGTGACATATCATGTACAGAGAAAAAAGGATAAGATTACAGCAGTGATTGTCTCAGAGACATCACCTTAGAAACTATTCATGTAAAAATACAATGGAGTGACACCTTTAGAGTACTGGAAGAAACTGTCAACCTACATTTCCATGCGTAGTGAAATATTTTCCAAAAACGAGGGTAAAACAAAGACTTTTTTAGACAAAGAAAAGTTGAGAGAATTCATTGCCATCAGACAAAGACTACAAGAAATGCTAAAAGAGGTCCTTTAGGCAGAAGGAAAATGGAAATAGATGAATTAAAACAGTAGTGGCAAGTAGGGTAAATATAAAAGTCATTTTCCTCACTTTAAGATTTCTTTATAAAATCTTTGCTTATTATAGTAAAAATGATATTTAACCTATTATGGGGTTTATAACTTATGTAGAAGTAAAAGGTTAGAATAATAGTCCAAAGTATGGGAGGGGACAAAATAGATACACTGTTGTAAGGGTCTTAGATTATAATGCAGTGTCATAATAATAAACTAAAGATGTACAGTCATAAATCCAAGGGCAAACATTAAATAAACAAACAACAATAACAGCAAAACAAAAACAAAAACAAAACCATTAAGGTATAAATAATAAGCCAAGAGTGGAGATAAAAATGTAATACTAAAGATATTCAATTAGTCCAAAATTAGTCAGGGAAAGAGGAAAAAGAACAAACGGGCATACAGAAAGCAACTAAGGAGAGAAGAAATGATGTCGTGACTATATTGGAAAATGGTGCCAAAAAGATGTAGAAATAACAGCATTTCTGTTATGGGAATGGACAAGATCCAATTTTTTTTTCAAAGGAAGATAAAATGATGAAGTAAAGAATCAGAGAATCACTGTGGCAGTAAACTTGAGAAGGCAGAGGGATGGGTGGTCTGCAGTGTACAAGTACTGACGTTGACCTTTGATGGAAACACAGGCCATTCATTCATAGAAACAAAAGAAAAGGCAGATTATGTGAGCAGATTCAGGAAGGTGGGTAGATGTGACAGTGGGAGCTGATGGAAGTTCTCTGTAGTTGCTTCATTGTTCTAAGTGAACTAGGAAACAAAATAAACAGCTGAGAGTGAGAACAGGGTAAGGCGCACTGCAAAGATGCAGATTCTGAATTCAGCTGTGTACGTGAAATGTGCCTTCCTATGGTCTATATCCCATGATCTCATATACTTAAGCAAGGCATTGTTTCTTATACTCTAAATGACCAACTAAATGTGACGTTTCAAATGATGCCCTATGGGAGAAGGAATAATATTTCCAAGAAGTCTCCCTAAAAGAAATGTCTCATTAGATTCTGAAATCTTACAGTAGATGATATGCACTGAATGCAGGGAGTATCCTATTTCGATGCTCCACTTCATTACAGGTGTCAGTGTAAGAGAGAAGGATTAATGATTTTAAAATGATAATTTTCCAGAAATTACCTCAGATGTTGGTGAATATAATATCCAAAAGAATTAAGACTCCTTTCTAAAGCCAAAGATTCTAATAGCAAGGCCATGTGCTTAATCTTGCCTGCCTGACCTCGGGGAAGTTTGCCTGGAATTAATTAAAAAAAAAAAAAAAAAAAGCATTTTTACCTAATTGGTAGAACAGAACTGTAAGTCTAACCATTTGTCCTCCCCTATCAAATGCAGGAGACGTGCCAGCAGTAGATTAGGATCAGTTTGTAACTTCAGCTGAATAATAATTATTATTAGCTTTACACTTTTATTTCCACACACAAAAAAATCAAACTAAATTTTGAAAGATTATTGCAAAAAGGCAACAGATAATAAGAAAAGCTGTTACATGCCCAGGATTCCCATTAGCATCACATCTAATAACCATGCATCAAGCTTGATCTTGGCTTCTTGTCAATAAAAAGATTAATGCAGCATGTTCATATGCTAATCTGGAGGTCTATTAAAAGAAATCTTCTTATTGTGATTGCTTTCATGGTTCATTCCTGCTGGGCCTTCCTTGAATTTTACATTAAAAAATATAGCCTAGTTTGAAATTCTTTTCATTTGATAAATTAAATAAATAGGAAGTCAAAGTCTATGTAGGAAGGCGATCTCATCCCTGAGACCATACCAGGTTTAAATAGGTGGCCAGGAGCATTAATTTTTCTTTGACCTTTTGCTTAGGAATTATACCAATTCCAAATTATCTCTTGGAGGCAGGTCCTATTATTATCTCTATTTTGTAGATAAGCAAACTGAGGCATACAGTTGTCATTTACCCAGGGGCCATCTGACTAGGACAGGAAAACTGCTACCCTGATAACTCTTAGATGTACTGCTGCATGAAGATTCAGAATCAATAAGGACATGAAGGAGAATGCTGACTAGGCAGAGATGTTCAGAGGTGAAATGGGATTTTAGAACTATAAAAATCAACTACAATCAATCAATAGAGCAGGTATTGCTTTTAAATAACCACAGTTAGAGACTAATAGTACAAGCTATTATCAAAATAAATGTGCTTCTAAGCCACCAATTTGAAAAATGCCACTCATTAAAAATAGTAACTAGCAGGGGCTCTTCAGTGGTATAGCCTGTTAAGTGCCAGACTCTTGGTTTCCACTCAGGTCATGATCTCAGGTCTTGAGATCAAGCCCCTCCTGCAGCTCAGAGCAGAGTCTGCTTAAAATTTTCTCTCTCTCTCTCTCTCTCTCCCTTTCCCTCTGCCCCTCCACTCCACACACTCTCTCTCTCAAAATAAATCTTTTAAAAGAAACAGTAGTTAGCAAGGTAATAAATCAGAACACTTGCTTAGCGGCGGTATAATTTCAAAGGTTATATTACATTATTTAAGTAACTTTTATATGCGTAATTGTCAAATTAGAATACACCTATACTTTTGTATAAAAACACAGTAATCAAAAGATGTATTGACTACATAATCAAATGCTAAGTATTATTCCCATTACATGTGTTGATTTGTAAGGTGCTAGTAATATTGATAGAAAATGACACATTATTTCAACAAAAATTATTGGCATCTAAAATTAATGGGTAATATATAATTAAGTTACTAGCAGATGAGAACAAGAATCCTACTGAATAAATCAAAATTTTAACACTAAAGAAATTTCTACATTAAAAATAATTTGGGGGAGCGTCTGGTGGCCCACCTATTTGGCTGCCTCCAGCTGACTGAGGTCATGACACCAGGGTCTTGGGATGGGGCCCAGTTGGGCTCCCTGCTCAGTGGGGAGTCTCCTCCCTCTCCTGCCCCCCTTGCTTATGCTCTCTTTGTCAAACAGATAAAATCTTTAAAAAGTAAAATTCTAGAAAATGGAAATTGTGCTTTACACCAAGGTTGTTACTGTGTTCTCAGCAATATCTAGCACCTATATTCATTTAATTCATCAGCAGACTCTTAGCGGGAAGCACATAAAATATTTAACTCTGGTACTTGGAAGATGTAGGAAGGGTTTTGTAAGAACGATAAAGGCACATCATGGGTGACACTCGAGTGTGAGGTTTGTTTCCCAGAGGATTGGATCTGAGACCTGGAAGTGGCCATCAGATCCCCGACGGCGGCCCGGGTAATCTAACCCTTCCTAAGTGAACTCTAACTCTATTTCCTCAGGGTCTCACTACTTTTCCTACTCTAATAATTTCTTTTGAACTCAAGGGCTTGCTGATGTTTGGCGTATCTGCAAACGTTGGTGGCACTCCCCAGCCCTCCTTTGGTGTGAGGCAGGTGGAGAATCGGACGGAGGGCAAAAGCCGCCGCAACGGGGTGTTCGCGGGCGGCTGGGAGCGAGGGCCGCGGCGCGAGGCCGGCGGCGGCGCAGCGAGCGGGGGGGGTCCTTGGGCTTGCGGGCCCCGCCGGGCCGCCACGCAGCACCCGCCCGCCCCCACGCACCCAGGCCGGCGGCGTCCCAAGGCCGGCGGCGTCCCAAGGCCCGCGGCCGGCGTGGACACACCGGCCAGTCCCAAGGCCGACGCTCTCAGACGCCGGCCGACACGGCAGCGCGGGCGCGGGAAGCTCTCGCCGCCGCTGTGCCCCGCGTAGTGTCGCCGCCGCAGCCGCAGCCGCCGCAGCCGCCGCAGCCGCCGCAGCGAGGACGCCCCGCGGGACCCGGAAGTGCCGCCGCCGCGCCGCCGGAAGTGCCGCCTCAGCCCTCCGCAGCCCGGCCGCGTCCCCGCCCGGCCGCCGAGCCTCCAGCCCACCCCCGCACGCACCTGAGCTCGCCGCGCGGGCCTCTCCGCCGTCGGACACCGGGGACCTGCGGCCGGGAGCCGCGCGGCGGGCGGACAGCAGCCCCGAGCCCGCGGGTCCCCACGGCCCGCCCCGCGGCCCGCCGCGTCCTGACCCAGATAGCGGAGGCGCCGGGGGAGGAGCCCGCGGCCGCTCGCCCTGCGGCTCCCGCCTCCTCGGGCGGGGGGTTCGACTTACCCGGGCGGGCTCCCAGCGCACCTTCCCCAGGAGAGACCGCTCCGCCGGCGCGTGGCCGGGACGCCGCCTCCCCCGGGGCCCCGCGCCGGCCCGGCGCCTTCCGTCCGGTCGCCGCAGCCCCGCACACCCGCCGGCCGCGGCCCCCCGCCCCCCCCGGGTCCCCCGCCCCCCGGGTCCCCCTCTCCGTCCCCCTCCCGGGCACGACCTTGACGTGTGACCCGCGGTTCTGGGCAGCGCCGAGATCGCTGTCATTAGCGGTCGGGGCCGCAACCACGGTTTCTTCGCTTTAGCTCACGTTCCAGTTTAATGACTGAAATCCCCAACCGCTATTCTTTTTTTTTTTTTAAGATTTTTTATTTTATTTATTCATTCATGATAGAGAGAGAGAGAGAGAGAGGCAGAGACACAAACAGGCTCCATGCCGGGAGCCCGACGCGGGACTCGATCCCGGGACTCCGGGATCGCGCCCTGGGCCACCCAGGGATCCCCTGCCCCCGCCGTTCTGAGCTGCTGTTAGCTCAAGACCGCGGCCCTCTCGGGTCCGTAACGTTAGCGACCTTACCAGACCTTACCCAGCTGCATGGTCTGTGGTTGGTACGATGAAGGCAGATCTTGACAAACAGAAACAACACACTCCTTTCCGTATTGCCCTCACTTTGAGTTTTAAACGTAGGCTTGCGGAGAACTTAGTTTGGATTCCAAATTCCCCACCAATGTGTACTAAGTGGAATTAAAACCGGAACATTCCTATTTATGGGAGAAAAAAAAAATCCTGCTCTCTGAAAAATAAAAAGGCTCATTTTATAATCCATACAATGCTGTTTACCGACGGGGATTCTATAGGATTCCTGAGACTCTAAGGTGTTTGGAGTTTCAAGCAGGCCGCATTAAAGAATTCCGTAAGCCTAGCCATAGCCACGGTCATTTTGTTGAAATAAAGTTGTATTTTGGAATACAGCAGGCTAATACTTTTAAGATTTGAAACTAGAATAGCCCTACATTCCAAAAACCACTTTCATCTCATTTATGGTTTGCAAGGATGTATTACAATATAATCCTAATATTTGCTTTATTTAACCAGAATACAATAAAATATTATTGTATTTATGTATTATACGTATAATACAATAAATGTATTATACATAAATACAGTGATGCGATTATACATAAATACAATACATATTATTGTAATATGTATTGTATTTATCCTGTTATGCAGGATGATAATAAGTGGTTTTTGTTTTTTTTTTAATTAGAGTCAAATGCAAAAGAAACTATACTGTCGGGGATCTCTGGGTGGCTCAGTGGTTTAGCGCCTGCCTTTGGCCCAGGGCCCCATCCTGGAGTCCTGGGATCCAGTCCCACGTTGGGCTCCCTGCATGGAGCCTGCTTCCCCCTCTTCCTGTGTCTCTGCCTCTCTATGTCTATCATGAATAAATAAATAAAATCTTAAAAAGAAAAAAACTATACTGTCTCTTCTGTAGTACTTAAAGTACCTATCAATTTAAGCTTTTCCAGAAGCAGCCCTCTGAGCGGTCTACTGCTGCGGCCTCAGCACACAGCACAGAAGAGGTCCAAAATAAAAATGTGGAGTATAGGCTGAGAACAAGGCCTCACCCCTCTCTGCTCCTAGAGGAGGATGGCAGCTGGTGCTGACTGGTTAGTCAGGTTCAGGAACCAGGGGAAGATAACTGTGGACTCCTGTGTGTGTACATGACACCTGTTCCTTTGCCTGGCACCAGTATCTTTGATTCTGTTCCTGGATCTGTAAAAATTACATGAGATGTAGAAACAGAGATAGTGGTAGCCGTTGATCTTTGGTAAAGTTCAAACTAAATAGCATAGAGAGGACCTACCCTTGCCAGGCTAACTAAAAAGAAGAAATGACTCCTGCACCCTTATTCGCAGAATAGCATAAAAGGAACTACAACAGCTAGGGGAGGCTGCAGGGAACAACCGCTAGGACTTTCCAAGTTGCTGATCATCATGGACACATGTTTGTACTCCCCCAAAGTTCATATATTTAAACCCTAATCCCCAAAGCGATGCGATTTGGAGGCGGAGCCTTTGGCAGATAATTGGGTTACAGGGTTGGAGCTCTCGTGAATAGGATTACTGCTCTTATAAGAAAACTAAGAGGCCAGAGGTCTCTTTTCTACTATGTGAGGGTACAGTGTCTGCAACCTGGAAAAAGGAGTCTTACCAGAACCTAGCCATACTGGCACCAGGATCTTGGATTTCCAGCCCCCAGGACGGTGAGAAATAAACGTCACTTAAGCCACTCAGCCTATGGTAATTTGTTATAGCAGCTGGACCTAATTAAGACCCTTTTCTCCATCACAACTAGCACAGTGCTACAATTATCTGGCCCTTCACAATTTGTCCTCACTGGCTTTTCCAGCTCTTCCCTACCAGGCATCATCCTATGCTTTAGCTATAGCCAAACTGCCATATCCTCTTTCCGTAAGCCACAGATTTTCCAGTCTCTGTGTTCTTTTCAGATGCACTCTGTGCCTCGAATACCCTACTGTTTACCACTTGCCAAAAACCAACTCATCCAGCAGATTAATTTTAATCTGCTTCCATTGAGAGGCTACTCTGTACATTTTCCTCCTCCCCAAAAGATGTATCCATCCATGCCCCCATCAAAACTTTCGTGGAAGGATAAGGATTTCAACAAACCCGAAACCCTTCTCTGACTCCTTTCATACACATCTCTCTCATACACTTAATTATTACTGCTTGGTCAGTGACTGTTGGGTCCTTGAGATTGAGAATCTTTTCAAAGCAAGGATGTATCTATCTTGATATCCCAGTGCCTGGCACAGTGCACATACCCAATGTTAAATAAATATTTTGAAAAAAAAATTTTAAAGTAATATGTATAGTGAAGAGAAAAGCGTTAAGAAATGTGTAGTCCTTCCTGTAGTAAAGCGTGTGTTATGGGTTTATCAGGTTTTTTTGTTTTATTATTACTTCTTGGGTTTTATCTGTGTTTTTATTCCTGGAAGCAATTGAATGACCAAGTTTATCTTAGCCCTATAGCAATAATTAATCTAGTCTGTAGTTAATTATTCTTATATTTCCTTATGTAATCATTTCCATTTTTTTTTTGTATCACCTATCAGCTTACTCAGGGAATGGACCATTAAGGGCAAAGGAACTATTTAGTTGGAAGGCAATCAAGGGTTTTGCTTGCATTTCCTTGAGAAGATATACTCTCCTTTTGTTCTAGAAATTTGATCTAGATTTTATTTTAAGGCTCAGGAACTGGTGATGGTCAGGTATTACCATTTACATTCCAATACATTATATTTTTGCTCTTCAAGTTAATTTACCACCTGAATTTCTGTGAACTGCAGATTGAGCTATAAACGTTAAGTACTACCGTCACCCTCAACTCCTATCTCAAAAGAGCAACATCTACCTTCTTCTCCAGGCTTGGGTCAGAGAAGTATTTTGTTGCTAAATAATTGAAGAAATTATTTTAAAATTAAGAACACACTAACCACGAAGAGAGAGAGAGAGCATGCATGCAGAGATCTATGGCTGGCTGTGCAGACAAAGAGCAGCAGTGGAGAAGCCAGCCAGGCACAACTCAAACTCCAAGTTTCCCAAATCAGATCTGGAGACCAGAGGAGAGCCAATAACAGCAACAACCACAGCATAAAATAGTGATTGGGTCTTACACCCAGTTCCTGTTTCCTTCTTCATATGGATTGTCTTACTCCATCTCCTCAGCAATCCAGTGAGATCAATAACATTACAGGTAAGGAAACAGAGGCTTGCAGAGGTGAAGAAACTTGGCCCCAGTCACAGTCATTTTTAGAGGCAATAACCAAACTCAGCATTGTCTGAGAGCCTTTCCTCTCAATCACATCCTGTGAGTCCAGCCTGGATGGCTGGCCTCGATGCCTGAAGAACATTCGAAGGAGGTTCATCAGAACACCTTTCATAAGCACAGCACAGAAATTTGCACATGATATTGTCCTGTCTGCATCTTCCATGTCACTTAACAATGGAGTCTTCACTGCTCCATTTACAGGAGGGCCTGAATCTCCAGATCAGAGCATCTTACCCATGGGAGCTTCTCAGTAGGGGTTAACCATTATCTCTAAGCCACAGGGTACATACAGAATTATGGTGGGTCTAGCATGTTCAGGTTGGTGTAGGAATAGACTTGGGGACAAGAAGAAAAATAATACTGTGTCTAATGCAAGTGGGAGTGTTTTGGAGGGCATTTTTCCTTTTAGGGGACACCTAAAATACAAGAAAATTACCCCTCCCCCCAGTTATAAAAGTAGTATGAGATTACTATGGCCAACTTGAAACTTCCAAAGGAAAAATGCTGTCTTTGAAAAAGGCACAAAAGTTAAATAAAATCTTAAAAATAAATAAATAAATAAAAAGGGCAGCCCAAGTGGTTCAGGGGTTTAGCACCGCCTTCGGCCCAGGGCCTGATCCTGGAGACCCAGATGGAGTCCCACATCAGGCTCCCTGCATGGAGCCTGCTTCTCTCTCTGCCTGTGTCTCTGCCTCTCTCTCTCTCTCTCTGTGTTTCTCATGAATAAATAAAATCTTTAATAAATAAATAAATAAATAATGAATAAATAAATAAATAAGAAAAAGGCACAAAAGTAAGTTTATTAACTGTTTCCACAAGACTAAGGAATGAGTGTGATAAACTATTAATCATTTAAATATAATAAAATAGTTGGCCCAATATTCCTGTGCTGAATAAAACTTAAATGGTATTTTTTTAAATTTATTTATGATAGTCACACACAGAGAGAGAGAGAGAGAGAGAGAGGCAGAGACATAGGCAGAGGGAGAAGCAGGCTCCATGCACCGGGAGCCCGACGTGGGATTTGATTCCGGGTCTCCAGGATCGCACCCTGGGCCAAAGGCAGGCGCCAAACC